TGGGCCGGTGGATTGTTGCCTTGATAGCTTTGTTGAGGAGGGGCTTGATTTTGGAATTGACCTTGAGGTCTTTGATATCCTTGGCCTTGTTGATTTCCTCCGTATTGCCCTTGTGATCTCCACCCTTGATTTTGGAATTGGCGAGGCGCGTTATTGACGTAGTTGAGCGATTCTACATCTTGTTTGCATTGGAGCGTGTAGTGATTTCCACCGCAAATTTCACAACATGGAGAATCAATTGCTTGGACTTGTTGTGGTGGACTTGCTTTGATGTGCTGCAGAAGGAGTTGATTTTGTTGAGCAATTTGGGTCACTTGAGCTTGAAGGGCCGTAATTGCATCTAACTCCAACACTCCGGGAACTTTCTTGGATCCACTAACCGTCCTCTCGCTTGACTTGGCAAACCGATTTTGAGCAATTTGATCCAACATGATGAAAGCATCCGGTATCGATTGACTCATAAAATTACCTCCGGTTGATGCATCTAAGACGGTTCGTGCATTCTCGTTAATCCCTTGGTAAAAGATATGGATTTGCCGCCATTGTTCGACTCCATGTGTTGGACATTGCCGCAAAAGAGTTTTAAATCTCTCCCATGCCTCGTATAATTGCTCGCCTTGCTCTTGGACAAAATTGTGAATTTCTCGCCGGATTCTCTCGTCCTTCTCGGGTGAGCTATAGACTTTCATGAAAAGGTTGAGAAGTTGAGGCCACGACGAGATAGAGTGGGGGGCTTGGGACATCAACCACTGGCGAGCTCTTCCTTGTAGGGAGTGCTTGAAGAGAATTAATTGAAGCGCCTCTTGGGAAACGCCGTTTTGACGGTGGGAGTTACAGGTATCTAGAAAATTGACAATGTGAAGATGGGGATCTTCACCTGCCAACCCACTAAATAGCCCGTTATTTTGGAGCATCGTCAAAAGGCCTTGCTTGATCTCAAAATTGTGCGCCTCAATGGGTGGATATTGGATGCTAGGGCGGAATCCGTCATGAGTCGGGATTATGTAATCTTGAAGTGCCCGTGGCGAACTGCTGGCTATGCTGGAAGTTGAAGGGGAGGGTCTTGGACTTGGTTTCCGTTGGCATTGAGTAAATTACCCGCTGCCCTGCGTTCTTCGTCCTCCATTATATTATTTGCGCGTTGTCGTCTCCTAGCGGCTCGAAAAGTTCGTTCGATTTCGGGATCAAACGGCTCTCTAGCAAGATCGAGTCTCCTGTGCATACAAAGTACCTAAAACAAAAATAAAATAAAACGAAAATTAAATGGGTGAATCGTGAAAATTGTTCAAATCTAGAGCTAGAATAAAATAAATAATTAAAATATTCCCCGGCAACGGCGCCAAAAACTTGTTGGTCGAAAACCTACACGCAAGTGCACGTATCGTACAAGTAATATAGTGGACTAAAAGTCCGGATATCGAACCCACAGGGAATATTTAATTATCTAATCCTAGACGCTAAATTCTACCAATTATTATCAAGCCCACCCTACACAGTCGAAAAAGGATTAATAAACTAAATTAAACTAAAGCAATTAAAAAGACAAAAACAAGAAAGCAATTAAAACGAAGATTTAATCAAAGTAAACAAGCCTAGGATTTTATTCTTCCCCCTATGTGATTATTACTCCCCCAATTCCTTCAATTATGCAAGCAATTAACCCGGATTATTAACCTGAGATGCTAAAATAATCATAACCCGCTTCCGCGTGTATTACGATTCTAATACTCTAGATTCAATTACTATATTCCTATGCAATTAATTCTAGAACACAGCATTAAGCACAAATCTCAATAATGGCTACCTAAGAGATTAACTATATTCCTATGTTAATACCACAAAGGCTCTTCTACCACAGTTCTAATTATTAACCCGATCTTCCGATTCATGCGATTAACAATAACATAAAAGCACATAAGTTGATCAAGTTCATGCACTTAATAAAACAAGTAGAAGAAATAATCCGGAATTAAAACTTGCATAAAATCATAGAAAAGGGTTCATAAATCCCACATAGGGTTCCAAATAAAATCCTAGAAACAAGTAATTTAGCTACTCATGATTAAAGCAAAAACACAAATAAAATAAATCATAGACGATAAATCTATGCTTGAAGTCTTCGAATTCTTCGTCTTCGTTATTGCTTTGTTGCTCTCCAAATTGCGTAAAAAAGATCCCCAATTGTGTGCTTGGATTGGTCTTATATAGGGTGAAGAACTTGGGGAAGAAGGCAGTTTCCTTGTGCAATTAAAATCCCTTTACTGCGCAACTTCGGGGTATGGGACGGGGGTCCCATAATTTGCACTATAACTGGGACGGGGGTCCGAGCCTTGTTTCTTCAGAATTTTGATATTTTCACTTTTGACCCATATTTTCGCCAAAATTGCAGTTTTGACCCCATACTTTTCCAATTTTTCAATTTGTACCTAAAATACAATAAATTAACTTTTTAAGCACCAATTATCGTTAAAACACACCAAAAGCTCAAATAAAAAGATACGATAAAGTGTAAAAATATACACTTAACACTACCCCAGGTGATCTACAGTTTAGCATCATCAAGTTGAAACATTTTCAACAAGTGTTCAAACTAGTTCAAAATTTATATATGAATTTCTACCTACTCATTTTAAGGATCCGCCAAATTTATTTGATCTTTAATGACTTTAGTTATGTGTCGGATCGACCCTTTGATTTAGGTCACTTTTTGTAATTACCAAAATCCTCGTGAAGTTTGTTTTCGTCATACACCAACCCCGTTACAGTGTGACTTTTCACGGATGTTTTTTTATTCCAGGGAAAATACTTTACAATTTCAAATATTTTCTTTTAGTTCTCACCTATTTAACAGAATGTATAATAGATTGTACACATTTTCTGTTAAAAAACTCGATCAACAGTTAATCATAAAGGGATTTTGGTTATTACAGATAGGTGGGGGTGTTTTTTGTTATTTAGCTTAAGTTCAGGGGTTTTTTCATAATTTATCCTAAATATTAAGGCAATTATATTTATTGTTTTATATAATAAGAGCTAATATTTGTTGTATAGTTCTAAGTTTTAAACATTTTAATTTCCTTAAGTCCACCATCATTTGATATTTCTTTTGTTCCCATTAATGATCATCTATGTAACACGGAAACGGAAACGAGAACACGGGGAAACGGACATGGGAACCTTATTTTACAAAAGGTTGGATATCTGCCGGACGTGGGGGAACGTCTAAATTTTAAAAATATAGAGGTACATTCGTAATTTCTAAAAAAATATTATAATGTTTTAAATGATATGATGGGAACCTTATTTTACACAACTAAAAGGTAAAATGATCATATTCGTGCACTTAATAAATCAATTAGAAGAAATAATCAGGAAATAAACACTTGCATAATATTAGAAATAACAAGTTCAAAATCCCCTCATAAGGTTCCAATAAAATCCTAGAATAAAAACTTAGCTACTCATGTTCTCTATAAAAAACGAATACAAATTGAAAAGATACATAGGTCCGAGAAAGAGAGAGATGATAAACTCTGTAGAAGATTTGTTAATTCTACGAACGTCTTCTCTTTTTCTCAATTGTCGCAAAATGGAGTTTTAAGGGATGGGAATTCACTCGCAATCATATATGACCGCTCTCGACCGGTGCATCTCTCTCGTGAACATGCTCCTCATCACCATAGACAGGTGGTGGTACTTCGGGGGGTGGCACGGACACCGGCTCCACACAATCCGATAAATCGAACTGCAACTTTGTTCCAACAGACTTGACCATATTGCCAATCCAGCTCATAGTAGCCTTCATCTCCTGCCGGAAATCCTCGTGATCCTTTCGAAGCCCGCCGACTTCCTGCTGAATCTGTCGGATTGTTTGTGAAAGCTCGGCTTTTGTCATAGGCTCCTCGCGTGGTGGCAGTGGCTCGGGATTAGCTCGACCCGCAACTTGTGCATAAGTACTGATAGTGGCGTCCGTAATGACACGTTGCGGCGGTTTAATATCGTCTTTCGGATTACCCTCGACGCCGGCGTTCTGGCAAAGCCCGGTGATAAGTGATGGGAAATATAAGCTGGTCCCTTGGTCTTTAATGCAATGAAGGATTTGCTCTTCAATAATCCCACCAATGTCAAGAGGCGTGCCTGTCATAATATGGTAGGCGAGTGCACAACGATCGAAACGCGCAATGCTCGTAGCGGTAGTCGGTATAATGCGAGCACTTATAAAATAAATCCATGCCTTTCCCTCATGGTTGACACTACTAAGCTTGAGGTAATTAGATTCCCAATCCATTACATGGGGAAGGGGGATTCGAACCCTAGACCTTTACCCTAATGGTAAGGCTAGGTACCAATTCTCGTAACGAGGGTTGTAAATATTTTGCTTTTAACTTGAGCATAAATGTATGTTGATTATGCTATGAAAAATAAGTGGAACTGTGGTCAACCGGAATTGTATTTGAAATAATTTCAAGAATTTCAAAAAAAAATTCCTACCAGAATTGAATAAAATAATATTAAATGTTGCATCATTAAATTGAAATTATTTGTTTTACCACAAATTGAGAATCCACATCCTATACGCACATTTTAAAGCACAATTAGCAAATAAAAGAACACACTAAACAACTTTTTCTAAGTAACCTTAAATTGAGAATGAAGATGAAGTGATTCTCAAGTAATATATTTATCCCGGCCAATACTAGCTCACTTTGTTTTCTGTCCATCTACCATTGTTTCAGTACATAATCTATTCCAAACTGCAATAATACTCGTGAGAAAATCGAACTTATGGATGGAACTAGTACGGATATTGCTAAGAATCGAGTTAATTATGGGTTTGTTCTACGTACAAGCAGCGGCGAATCTACTTAAGAACATGAATCTGTCAATTAGCAACACATTCTTGGAGCCTTGTTTCCACGTCTTGTACAGCAGATCCCTGCGGCAAACCATCGATAGTATTAAAGAAACTAGATTTTGTTTCCTTGGATTAAAACAAAGCAAAGATCAAAGAGGTCTATTTTGGCAGAAGAAGTCAAGGCTAGAGTTAAAAAACTTGCCAGTTCTAGTTCGGGCCAGAAAATATCTCCAAATGATCCACAGCTTTTTCAATTGCATGAAGAGCCATTTTCTTCACCTTTAGACAAATTTCAAGATTTCAAAATTTTCATCATAGTAGGATATGGATGCATGCATTCCAATTAGAAAGAAAGAAAGATAAATAAGACACTTGATATCTGAGAATGAAAACTCATTTAAAAGCTCAAAGGTCAAAATTATACCTCTAACTTGTCTTCCTTAGCCCTATGATTTTGTGGAAGAACACGGAATTCCTGTGTCAATCGAAGACACTCTTGGACATTTTCTGGTGAGACGAAGTCAAGAGCCACCTTTATGCAAGGCTGGTATGGAATAAACATAAACAAATTGCTTTTTGGCCAAAATTGAAAGAAGATAAGATGCAAATGACTTGGTGTTATTTCATAAACCAATGTACCTTTAAATTTCTAACTTGATGGGGACAGCCAGCAGGTATAAAAACAGCATCACCTAATTTCTGGACAAATGTCCATGGTTCGATTCCTATTCAAGCACAAAAGATAAGCAGGCTGAACATTATTTTCGACCATTACACAAAGTAAATAAGAGGGAAAGACTAACCATACTCCTCCTTAAGTTTCCTCTTATGCTCCATAGACAAGTAAACCGTTTGATCATGAATAGGGTGGACAACCTGAGGAAAAAAGTTGGTAATTAAAGGCAACGTATGCTAGAAGACTCTTGCTAATACAGGTAATAAACTATCATGTATGTAAGACGCGTCTTTCTCTAAGCTGATTCTGACTTTTTAGGTTATTAAGACTCGTGAAGTTATTATTCTTACAATTTAATCTTATAAACATCAAACCAAACAGACATAATACATTGTTTTACCTTAACCTCAAAACATATTACTTTGACGAAATTAATCCGTACCTGCGACAATTGATTACAATAGATATGCCTAAATTCTTTCAAGTGCTTCCTCACATATTCCTCCAGTTTTGGTACGTCTTGCCTCCTAAAAATATCCCATAGAGCACCACCTTCAGGGTCTCTAACACTTGCCGCCTCATCTGAGGTATCAGCTTTATTCTTCCCACTGCTATTACCGCCCTTTTTTTTCGACATCGAAGTTTTCACGGATGATTTTCCAACAGATTCTCCAAGATTTCCTGTTTTTTCACTGTTTTCATCCATTATATTCAATATCTGTTTACTGCCACGCATTTCCGTTTCATCCTGTTCAGCATGCTTCATTTGCAGGATTTTAATGGTACGAAGCAGCTTAGGTCTAAGTGTCACCCCATGTTCATGTGTCAACACATTCACCTAAACGACGGACATTATAACAAAACAAATCAGCATAATATACTAGCAAATGACAACCAACAACCTAGCCTATAAAGCAAAAAGAACTTCATGTAGTCCAACTATCTCCTAACAAATATTAAAAAGTAGCAAAATATCGAAGATTCACATAAGAGGACGTACTGCATCAGACATATCACAGTGTAATTTTGTTACAGAATCACCCCGCCCCAATTCCTGAGCAACTCCATAAGCAATATATGTCTTTGGCCCCATATCTGGCTTCAGAGAAATCTTTGGCAGTTTAGTAGCAAGATTTAAGTAGCCATCGTGAGGATGTGTGTACTCTTTAAAGGGCAAGCATCTGATAAACTCAACACCATGACGAGGTAAGCTCTCCTCGAACAAGTTAGAAGGAGGCCAGTCTTTCAACTTGAGAATCTCAGGCCAAGAATAACTGTCAAACCGACCCTCTAAATACCCTTTGAAAAACTGGTTGATTTTTATGACAACCTGGTTGTGATTGAAAACTGATGAGTTTTCCATCATTGACAACTCAAACATCACCGTAAAGCATGCAAATCTACAAGATGGTGAACGAGAAAAACAAGATAGATAACATCCAATAAACAGTTACACAATAAAACGATTTTCACTTCCTAATACAGATTTGAGATGAATAAACTAAGTTACAAGAAGCACTAAGTCAAATATTTCATGCGCACATTCTAGGGAATAATTGTACTCAACAGAATGGACCACACCAAAATCAATCGCCATAGCCAAATGATTTTTATGACAACAGTCGAGCGATAAATTTATCAGACTCCATAGATGTTGTATTCAATTTGAATTAGATTTCACATCAACCTATGTAGACTGCACCATTACATTTTTACTATCAAATATTATTATAATTTTGAAGGATATAATTAATCTGAAATGAAGTTTTATATAAAACTGTAACTTATCAAACCAAAACCACATCAAAATCCAGTACTTTAGAATCTAAAGAGTCCGATGTCGAAATACAAGATAAAACACCATAAAGAAGATCACTAAACATCTTCAACAAAGAAGTGTAACACACAGGAGTCTAGGACACTTCAAAATTAGGACTCCTAATATACCTAATAGCATGTTAGATGTCAAAGAAAAGACTGAGAAGAAGAGAAGCCAAAGAAGAAAGAAAAACATCGAGCAAAAACTAGGAAAATTCCAAATAGAAGAAAAATAAA